GCTTGGATTACAGGTGTGAGCCACCACACCTGGCCCATATTCCTTCTTAATAGAGTTTCTCCACCATTCATGTTACTCCCTTTTTGGGGGAACATATGTTTATAATTTTTCCTGTCTCCTTTTTCTTTCATTTTTTTTTAACTTTTTTACATTTGATTCACTCTTTTATTACTGTTTCTTTATGTCACTCATAGTTTTTTCCTATTCCCCACTTTTCTCTTTTTCTTTTTACTGTTTCTCCTTTGCCTCATCACCAGGTTCCTAGTCTTGAGGCTTATCTACTGTCTACTACCTTGCCTGCCCTGCTGTCCCTTTTTAATCTCGTCTGGAATACAGTGATTTGTTTTAGGTTTTTCTCTCCTTTACTCTTAAGTTATGTTTTTTTACATTTTCATTTCTCCTCTAATAAATATTTTTTTAACTTTGGAGTTTTGTTTCATTCTTCATTCTGAGTACTTACACCTCTTTACTTTTGGTGAGAAAGTTGGTGTTACTTCTGTGTGCTATAGAAACTCTTATTGCTAGGACCATGAGTGGGCTAAGACCTAAATGCCCCTTCTCAAAAGAAGCCCTGTTTCTGTTTTGCCCAACATGCCCAGGTATTACACCACGCCACTTTATCTTGGCAGTTCCTTCTGGAAACCTCTGCACACTGGTGTAGTTATTTCTGTCCATCTACTGCCAAAGGTCCTTGATTTACCATTCAGTGGGTATACACTAATGAAATCTGATTAGATATTTGTTCCTGTAATATTAGCATACTAAAAATCCTAAATTTAGGAGGATTTGGGGGGGATAAATATTGGGTGGTCTTGAGAAAAAAATATTCTTATCAGAATCACTTTCTGCCTCAGAAATTTAAAGAAGTATTTTAGGATTTAGACCTGTTCTGTAGTCCTATGCTAATTTATACCACTGTTCTGGGGGGAGTAAGGATAGGTTCAGTCTTAAACATGAAGGGAAGAAATCTTAGAGCTATAGATCCTCTTTAAAGAAAAAGTTTAGGCTGGGTGTAGTAGCTCACGTTTGTAATCCCAACGCTTTGGGAGGCCCAGACGGGCCAACATGGTGAAACCCTATCTCTAATAAAAATACAAAACTGTCCAGATACGGTGGTGGGCATCTGTAATCCCAGCTATTTAGGAGGCTGAGGCAGGAAAATCAATTGAACCTGGAAGGTGGAGGTTATAGTGAGCCAAGATCACACCACTGCACTCCAGCCTGGGCATCAGGGGGAGAAAGTTCCTCACTTATGGCCAGAGGTTTGAGACCAGCCTGGCAACGTAGTGAGAGCTCATCTCTAAAAAATTAAAAAAAATTAGCTGAGTGTGGTGGGAGGTTCCTGTGGTCCCAGCTACTACTTGGGAGACAGGTAAGAGGATTGCTTGAGCTGGGGATTTTGAGGTTGCAGTGAGCCGTGATCATGTTATTGCACACTCCAGCCAGGGCAACAGAACAAGACTCTGTCTTTAAAAAAAAAAAGGAAAAAAAAGTCTCTTAAATGTTTAAAACTAGGCTAATATAGTATCTACAATATGTAATAGGAATATTATAGGTGGAAAATGGGAGACTAATAGATTTTCTCATGTTTTAATATCTCTTATTAGAACATAAATGTGAATGTTGTTCCTTCTCCCAAATTGGTACCTTTCCCTTTCATTATCTTTCTGCATGGATAAAAGGTAACTCAGAATATATTTTATCTTTCTAAAAATAGAATCTTCATGAATCAGAGTTGTAGTAATCTCATGTCTGTGATTTGATGAAAAGTTAAAAAAATAAGCACTTTGGAAAATGTCTGTCTTCATATCCTCATTAGGAAACTTCTCTTTAATTTTGTAGTCAAATCAGAAAATTAATGCCCGTTGGACCACAGAGGAGCAGCTTCTAGCAGTGCAAGGTATATTGAAGATAAGCAGTTATTGTTGTTAATAATTATTTAATTTGTCATGAAAGGTGACTACCCTAGTTCTTCCCTTCCTTTAGAAATTGATCCAGAAAGGGCTCTTGTGTTTATGACAAAGTCCTGGTGACCAGGAATTCTGTGTTGTATTTGTGGATGTGACATATTCAAGTCTATGTGCATTTTGAGTCCTGAACAGCACGTAATGTATTCTCAGCACTAAATAATTGATGATGATGATTAAGCATGAAAAAGTCACATGGGCTCTTTGTGCTTCTCCTTTGATATTCCTCCAACTGGGTTCGTTCTTACTGTATATCATTCATTGATAACTTATAGTTAAAAGCATAAATGAGCTATAGTATGTTTCTGATTACTCTGTAAAATAATGTTTATCTGATAAATGTCAGGTATTGAAAATATTAACTACATGCCTAACTTTCAGTGTTTCATACTTCCCTTAAGAGATGTACCACTAAATGCTTAGAAACCTGACTTAAAATAGATATATTTTTAAAAAGAGACTTAAGAGAGATATCAAAAAATCACATACAGCATTTTAAATGCACTATTTCTAAGAATCTTTTGTTGAATTATATGGCAGAAAGCTTTTTGTATTATGAACACTCATGGGCAACTGGGAAGCATTATAAACTTGGATTTTCTCATGTTTAAATTACTTAAAGAAAGACAAATTGTATATTTTTATTCATTGTTACGGATTATTTTCCTCTTTATGATAAATTATGTGCAGGTCCAATTGTACAATTTAAAGTTTGATCTACATTTTGTTTCTTCCTGGCTGAGCACTTCTTTGTGTTGAGTGCTAGTAGTTTTTTTATCTAGGTTAACCACTGTGAGAGAGTGGGGCCTCAGTGAAACATATAAGCATACCTTTTAAAACGTTGCCAAATAGTCTAAAGAGAACATGTTTAATACAAAAATGCTTTGGAAGCATCATTCCGATTGATTAACTGATAGATGACTCTGCAGTTTCGATTGGAGAAAGAATTAGCCAGCCAGCATGATTTGAAAATGTCACAGGAGGGTGCCAGCAGGATGATGTCAGCCCTTGCTTAGGCCTGTGCAGCATAGCACAGTCATTTCATAAAGAATTGATACTATGACACAGGGTGCTGGATGTGCATTGAACACATCTGTAATTGTAGAACTGAGTTTCTGAATGAGTCAGAACAAGGTTTAATTAGTTCATAATGTTTAAAAATAGCTGTTTTTAAATTAAACTCTGGTAATTTAAATTATTGTTTAAAAAATTAGTGAGGATTTCAGTGGCTGCTTTATATTCATTTAGAGTTATGGCCTACAGATTTAGTATAGTCATTTTGAATAGGCATTATTTTATTCATGTAAAGCCTATATTTTTCTATCATCGTAGCCTGGTAAAAACTGCACCTGGTTTCCAGTATTAAGTTGCTTGAAGATTAGTATGTTAACTCTGTATTTTAAAGAAATTATCCCAATGAAAGAATTTTCTGAAAAGGATATCATAGGAAAGTCTAGGCTAATACTTCTCTGTACAGCACTCAGGATTTGATACTGCTCTACAGCAGTACTTTAAGTGAGAGAGTCCACTGAATCTTATGGCTGGGTTGGATATTCAAAGCTGCATTCAATGGAAGAACAACAGTAATATCTAAATATATAGTTTGAACTATATATGTAGACATAATTAAATATTAAAAGAATGGAATAGTCGTATGTATAACCAAACATTTCCTCTGTGCTGAGGTATATTCAGTATTATACTATGTACATTTTTAAAAAGTAACCCTTTAAGTAAGTTACACTAATAACAGTTTGTATGGAAGTACACATGTTCTCAGGATTTCAAAGGCACTTTCTTAATAATGTGTTAATGGTGTTAATGTCTCTGTTTTATTTTTATTCTTTGGATTTTTTTGTTTTCATTTGTAGGTTTTTGTTGTTGTTACATAAAATAAAACAATATAAGGACATTTGTGCCCAAAATAGCTATTTTAAAGAGAATTTAAAAGTATCATATTGTCTTATGTGCCCATGTATTTATATAGTGCTCAGAAGTGTGTCTTATAAATAGTATAATCATGTAGTAATGTCCCTTGTACCTGAATTTCAGTGCAGCTATAATACGTAATTGTGGGGTCTTTTAATAATACACAGTTTACTATCTACAAGTACTTCTCTTAGCAGGCCGTTTTTTTGTTTTTGTTTTTTTTTTTAATCTTTATGGTAAACCTTTATGTATATTATTCTAATGGCCAATTTAGTTTTACAAAGTAATAAACTATGTTTTGATATTAACATGTTTTACTTTGTATATCACTGTATATTCAAGACATTTTACACATATATTTCAGATTTGACACTTACTTGTTAAATGCTTTATTTTATCTGGCTCATAGTAGAATACTATTACAGTGACCTGCAGAAAAAAATGTTGACTCTGGTGCAATTAGTGAGATTTACAATTTTACTATTAAATAAG